AAGATTTTTTTTTAAGTTTTTTTACTATACACATATAGTTAAAAACAATGACACCCCTGGGGCCGGGCCAGTTTTGACCCCAGGGCTTTTATTTGAACAAACTTTGTAGACACTTACTAGAAGATGTTTCATGCTTAATATCTAAACTCTAGCTATTTGGGTTTTTTTCAAAAGAAGATTTAAAGTTTTGCTAAAACACATATAAAAGAAAATCAATGACCCCTGGGCGGGGCCAATTTTGACCCCAGGTCTTTTATTTGAACAAACTTTGTAGACACTCACTAAAAGATGTTTTCATGCTTAATATCTTAACTCTAGCTATTTGGGTTTTTTCAAAAGAAGATTTTTAAGTTTTTGCTATACACAAATAAGGAAAATCAATGACCCCCGGGGCAGTGCCAATTTTGACCCCAGGGCTTTTATTTGAACAAACTTGGTAGACACCTATTAGAACATGTTTGATGCCTCAATATCTTAGCCATAGCTCTTTGAGTTCTTTAAAAGAAGATTTTTTTAGGTTTTTTACTATATGCATATAGGGAAAATCAATGACCCCCGGGGCGGGGCCAATTATGACCCCAGGGCTTTTATTTGAACAAACTTGGTAGACACCCATTAGAACATGTTTCATGCTAAAATATCTTAGCTCTAGCTCTTTGGGTTCTTTAAAAGAAGATTTTTTAAGTTTTTACTATATGCATATAGGGAAATCAATGACCCCCTGGGGCCGGGCCAATTTTGACCCCAGGGCTTTTATTTGAACAAACTTGGTAGACACTCACTAGAAGATGTTTCATGCCAAATATCTAAGCTCTAGCTCTTTGAGTTCTTTAAAAGAAGATTTTTTAAGTTTTTACTATATGCATATAGGGAAAATCAATGACCCCCCGGGGCGGGGCCAATTTTGACCCCAGGGCTTTTATTTGAACAAACTTGGTAGACACCTATTAGAACATGTTTCATGCTAAATATCTTAGCTCTAGCTCTTTGGGTTCTTTAAAAGAAGATTTTTTAAGTTTTTACAATATGCATAATTATAGGGAAAAATCAATGACCCCCGGGGCGGGGCCAATTTTGACCCCAGGGCTTTTATTTGAACAAACTTGGTAGACACTCACTAGAAGATGTTTCATGCCAAATATCTAAGCTCTAGCTCTTATGGTTTTTTAAAAGAAGATATTTAAAGTTTTTTCTTTCGGTTGCCATGGCAACCAGAGTTCTGCATGGAATTAAATTCTTTGAACAATTTTTAAAGGTGACCACCAAAGGAACATTCCTGTGAAGTTTGGATGAAATTGGCTTAGTGGTTTATGAGAAGATGTCATTTAAAGTAAAAGTTTACGGACGGACGGACGACGGACGAACGACGGCCGGACGCCGGACGGACGGACGCCGTACGAAAAGCGATCACAAAAGCTCTCCCTGTCACTTTGTGACAGTTGAGGTAATAAAAGTATCGGGAAAAGACCCATTAATTTCCAGCGATTTTCACGCGAAAATTTTATCAATTAGCTTGTTTTTTCAACAAGTTTTAGTGAAACCTCATTTTCTGACAATCATGAATGGCAAAATGATTTAAAAATCTAAATTAATTTATGTCAACAATAAAGTTTTTCTGGTATTATTTTGTGTAAAAATATATGTATACAGTGGTGGCCTATGGTTACGGAGGATAATCCATTTTAACATTCAGTGATGTAAAAAAAAAAAAGGTAAAGGTCTTGTTTATTATAGTGTCACCCCTACTGAAAGGGCCAGCCATTTTGACTTATGAGACACCTTTTGCTTGCATACCATGTACCTCCCGATTCCTACCACTATGCCAGGCGCCAGGCGGATAGAAATCGGTAACCATTCATTTTAACTACCTCGTGGCTCACGAAGCGGCCATTTCGGAACGAGTCCCACGAGAAACATTCATCCTTCAATTAACGCTCCCCGTGGGGCTCGAACCTTCGACCTCCCGATCCGAAGGCGGACGCCTTAACCACTAGGCCAACGGTACCGGTTGATGTATGTATATTATCTTTGAAGCAAGGTTGCAATCTTTTTTTTTTTCACCTATAAACCAAAAAAAAAATCAAATTGTATTCAAGTTAGATATGTCAACTCATGTAAAAAAAAATTCATGAGGGTACCATTTCTGTCCATTTTCACATAACAAAGTTGCAATCGTTTTTTTCACTTTTATATCAAAAATAAATCGAATTTTAGTCTGGTTATATATGTCCAGACGAATACTTTATATTTGTGAGGGCATCATTTCCATAAACTGTACCGTGTACGTATATATATGCAGCATTTAGTGGAATGAATAGGAAAATCGAGTACAGCTTCACACAGTGTGTAAGAGATTCATCCAATCGGCAATTATTTTAGCTAATATCTTCAAAAGGGGATCAACTTTTATAAGAATTAATGTTAAATAATTAACAAAAGAACTATTCATTGACATATTTGGCTTGGAAACTGTGAATTTTTATGCCCTTTGCGAAATTTTAAGGTTTCTGGCAAATGTGAAATCGCCGATGTTCGGGGTCGAAGTTTGGAAAAGCGTGCGTTTATTTTGGAATAAAATTCTTTTACTCTTCTACTTCTCAGTTCAAAATTTGTCTGAAAAGTTATTGGAGAAAGATCTTTTTAACAGAATGGGTACATAATGATCTCAAAAAAAAAAAAAAAAAATTCATCGAAGGTGTAAAAAATTTTTAGAGTCGGGGCCATTTTCATGGGTTGGTCGGAGCACTACAAACAAACAATTTTTTATGGATGGCCTAAGTGCAAGATAGAATTATGGATCTTTGTCAGTGACCTACAATTCTGACCCTAAATGCATATGTGAAGTTTTAAATAAATATCTTTAATAGTTATTGAGATATGTAAAACTTGCAAGTAAACATTAACCAAGAGACTAAGTAGAAAAGGGGATATGAATCAGCCTTAATGCAAGATAGAGTTATGGAACTTGGTCAGTGACATACAATTATGACCCTCAAATTATGACCCTAAGTACATGTGTAAAGTTTCAAGTAAATATCTTTGAAGACCTTTAACCTTTAACCAAAATCTCTAAGTTTCAAAGGGGCAAATAATTCTGCAAATATTGCAGACAGAGTTATGCAATTTTGCAAAATGATGTACATTGTTACTATAAAAAAGTATTGTAAATTTCAATTGAATATCTCAAGCAACAATTGAGATATTTGACTTTACAAAAACTTTAACCAAAATTTCTAAGTTAACTAGAAATGTGTCCATAGGACACGGGTGCCCCCACCGCGCCACTGTTCTGTCAATCTTTTTACTAAGTCAAGGGAAATAACTCTACAAATACTTGATAAATCCACAAGCGAATCCCCAGGTGCAAATCTAAATATGCTGAGCAACCTGCCCATAAGGTTTAATGACTATGTCAAATCCTTTTGAGTAACTTGCGACACAAGTTGAAAATTGCAAAATTTTACTAAGTCAAGGACAATAACTCTGAAAATACTAAAAATATCCAGACGAAAATACCCTGGTGCACAACTGCACATGCTGATCAATATTCCTGTAAAGTTACATGACTCTAGGTCAAATACTTTTTGAGTTACGTGGGACACATGTTGAAAATTGCAAAATTTTACAAAGTCAAGGGCAATAACTCTGAAAATACTAAAAATATCCAGACGAAAATACCCAGGTGCGCAACTACACATGCTGATCAACATTCCTGTAAAGTTTCATGACTCTAGGTCAAATACTTTTTGAGTTACGTGCGACACAAGTTGAAAATTGCAAAATTTTACTATGTCAAGGGCAATAACTCTGAAAATACTAAATATATCCACACGAAAATACCCAGGTACACAACTAAACATGCTGATCAACATTCCTGTAAAGTTTCATGACTCTAGGTCAAATACTTTTTGAGTTACGTGCAACACAAAAGTGAACTGACGAACGGAAGGACGGACGGACGGACAAGGGTAAATCTAAATGCCCGCCACTAACGTGGGGGCACAAAAAGGGGCATAATTCTGTCAATATTGTAGGCAGAGTTATCCAACTTGTCAATCTGATGTACCTTGTTACTATAAATAAGTATTGTAAGTTTCAATTGAATATCTCAAGCAATAATTGAGATATTTGACTTTACAAAAAACTTTAACCAAGGCAGACGCCGACGCTGACCCGACGCCGACGCCGGGGCGACTACAATAGCTCTCATATTCTTCGAATAGTCGAGCTAAAAATCACTGGCACACAATACACGAATGACTTCACATACCCAAGGTATACTATTTTTCCATGATTGCTAAAAGAAGTACACAGTTTAATGGGCCAGTTACACAGACAGTCGTCCCAATCTTCTTTTAAATTTTTTAAATTAACGCGTTATAATCGGTTGTCATGTGTAAATTTTAAATTTCGGTTTTTTTGTGTAAACGGCCCCTTCCGGGGCTAAAAGAAATCCAAAACCCCGGGGTTGGATCGTAAAAATTTGCTAAAATACCCAACCCTTTTTTATGTTTAAAAATTTGGAAAGCAAAATCGGCGTAAGCTGATTAATCACTTTTTTGATACTGGGTAAATAAAGTGGTTTAAAAACCCCTTCCCGTCAATAGGGCCCGGGGGTTTCAAAATTTCTTTAAATTTTTGTTCAAAATCGGGCGATTTTAGGGATAAAAAGGGGCTCCAAAATTTTTGTTGATATGGGTTGGTGTGGGTTATTTGTAAATATTTTAAACCGTTCGGGGTTTTTAAAACCATGTTTAAAAATCCCAATTGGTTTTTTTTCCCCGGGGCCAAAATTGTTTTTCCCCCAAAAATACCCTTTGAAAAGGAAAAACCCCAGGTAAAATTAAAGGTTGGGAAAATCCGTAAAAATAAACGTTGTCATCGGTTCACCATAATTTGGCAAAAAAAACCTACTGATAAATTCCCCGAGGGGTTGTGTAACGGGGGTGTTTATATAAAATTTTCCCTTTTTTCTCAGTTTCTTGTTCCTGGTGTTTATCCTAGCTTAGACTGATAGGATGTAATTTAACCCCTTTCATTGTCTGAGTTATAAAACTCTCACTGATCACACGGGAAATACACGGGCATGCTTTAAAAATTTTATAAAAAATCTTTACTTTACAACATTACACTTTGAAACTTTCTAAATCCAGCACTTTTTTCCAATTTTTATTTCCCAAATTTGGGAAAATCATCAATATGACATCCAGAAGCCAAATATACAATATCTAACTTATGACTTGTAAAAATGTGACTCCAATATGTGTAATGTTCAATATGTGATATCCAATATACTATCTCTAAAATGTGACTTTTAATATCATCCCAATATTTATATATGTACTCTCTTATATGTGTTCTACCATATGCTCTCTCTAACATGTGCTCTCCAACATGTTCCCTATTAATATGAAAGTTCTCCATTATGAATACTTTAAAATATGTGATCTCCAGTATGTGTTCATGTATAAATTTACTTAAAATAGCTTTAAGAATAAACATACTTCATAGTGATATTTGTAAACTTTTATCAATATCATAACTGTAATATTATTCAATTTAATAGTAAACTCCCAGTAGTAAGACTTCTTATTACAAGATTGCAGAATCAATTTGATCAATTTAATTTTCAATTTAAACATTTCCTTAAGTTCTGACTATATAACTGTATTTTAAAGCCCCCCCCCCCCCCGAAGTAAGATTAAATTTTTTTTGGGAATGTTGGTCGGTCTGGCGTCGGGAGACCACAAAGGTTTTCCCTGATTAATTTTAAAAAAAATTTACCAAAAATCTTCAAAATTTCAAATTGATCATAACTAAAAAAATACCCCTATTGATTTTTACCTTTTTAGGTCAAGGGTTTTTGGAGCCTTAAAAGTCAGAAGGTTTTTTGCTGAATTTTTTTGGAAACTACAAAACTCATACCACTTCTATTATAAAAGTGATATGCCATAACACCCATGAGTCGCTATTTTCTTTTTTGGTCACTAGGGCTAAGGGATAGGTACAGGGGGTTTAAATTTTCAAAATGGTTTTCCCAAAAATTTTCTTTGGAAAATATTTATTCCCGAGTCCCCAAATATTTCACATATTGATTGATCATAACTAGTAGATGACCCCTATTGATTTTGGGGTCACTGTGTCATGGTCATGGTCACATGGGCATTAAATGTCAGAATTGTTTCTGCTGATTATCTTGAAAACTATTGATCATAAAGTTTGTATATGTCACATAGTGATTTGTCATAAATAGTAGATAACCCCTATTGATTTTGGGATCTATTGGTCAAAGGTCAAGATCTCAGGGGCCTTAAATGTGAGAATGGTTTCCGCTGATTATCTTGAAAATTATTCATTACAACATCTTCATATTTCACATACTGCTTGGTCATAACTTGTAGATGACCATTATTGATTTTGGGGTCACTAGATCAAAGGTCAAAGTCACAAGGGTCTCAAATGTTAAAATTGTTTCTGCTCAATATCTTGGAAACTGTTCTTCATATTTCACATACTGATTGTGCAGCAACTCCTTGAAGGGCGTTTCCCAGCACTCCATTCTCCATTCGAGCCAGGTCTAACAAAGCTTGTCCATAACAGAAGTAGGCATCTGCATACACTATTAATTTTAGGCTCACTAGGTCAAAGGTCAAGGTCACTGGGGCCTTGATTTGTAGTAAGGCTTCCACTCATTATCGTAAAAGCAATTTATCATGTTTCACATAGTGATTGGTCATGACTAGTAGAAGACTTCTATTGGTATTAGGGTCACAAGGTCAAAGGTCAAGATCAGAGGGGCTTTAAATGTCAGAATGGTTACAGCATATTACCTCAAACATTGTTCGTTACAAACTTTTCTAATTTTTCATACTGACTGCTCATAACTAGTACATGACCCCTAGAGATTTTAGGGTCACTAGGTCAAAGTCAAGGTTACTGGGGTTTAAAATGTCAGATTGGTTTCCCCTTATTATCTTGAAAACAATTTATCACAAAATCTTCATATTTCACATATTGATTTGTCATAACCATTAGATGACCCTTATTGACTTTGGGTTAACTAAGTAAGAAAAAGGTCAAGGTCACAGGTCCCTTAAATGTCAGACTGGTTTCCACTTATTATCTTGAAAACCATTGATCAATTTATCACAAAGTCTTCATATTTCACATATTGATTAGTCAGATCTAGATGATGTCCCCTATTGATATTGGGATAACTATAGCAAAGGTCAAGGTCACAGGGGCCTTAAATGTCAGAATGGTATTTTCTTATCCTCATGAAAACTATCATTAAATCTTCATATTTCACATATTGAATAGTCATATGTAGCAGATGACCCCTATTGATTTTGGGATCACTAGTTAAAAGGTCAAGGTCACAGGGGCATGTAAATATGGTTTCTGCTTATGACTGTAGCAGATGTGAATTTTAACAAGTTATTAAATTCTAACTTTTCACTATTTATCATTTTTTAAACATGATGGGTCTCTAAATCATTTATTGAATCCCATGTGGTGGGTCTTTAAAGTTCGTAAAGGTGAACTGTAATCAATATTTCCCACAGACTTTCCTTATTGTTGATTGGATCTTTCGTTTCATCTCGTCTAGTCGGAACTTGTGTTTCAATTGCTTGTGGTCACATGGTTTAACATGTTTAACTTGAATTGAGTTGTTGTAAATGGTGTTGATTAATTTAAGTTTGTAAGGATTTGATATAAATTTAATAGGTTGGATATAGGATTGAGGTTGGTATAAGCACAGTAGTTATCCACAGTGTGACAGTTGACAGTGGAGTGTTTTTGTCAGGGTACTTGTTTTACAAACAAGATCCAGACATTATGACAGTATTATATCATATTGTACAGTCTTATACAGTGATATACTGACCTGTGTATAAATATTTGTATTAGTCTTTGAGTGGACCCACTGGTAAATAAAGCAGAAATATATGTGAACCATATCAAGCCTTGGTTTTATGTAAACCCCCAATCTGCTAGATTACCTTGAAAACTTTTTATCATAAAGTCTTCTTCATACTTTACATATTTATTAGTCATAACAGGGTCACTTGTTCAAAGGTCAAGGTCTTTACATTTCACATATTGATTGGTTATAACCAGTAGGTCATTATTTTTCTTTTTTTCCATAACTGAACTCTTCCATTTACCCATTTATGGCAAGTTGCTATAACAAAATTACCAATAATGGAAATCCAGGGTTGGAAAGGGGAGCATAGGTGTTGTTCTACATTTCTTGTTTCCAGTATGAAGTCATACGGGCAAACAAGGAATAACCTTGACCTTTAAACTAGTGACCCCATTATGACTAATAAATATGTGAAATAAGAAGACTTTGTAATAAAAAAATTTGCAAGATACAGTGTTCGAAATTAGCAGTAGTCCGATAGCCCCTGACTACTAAATTTCTCCTTGGGCTACCAACTTTTCACAGTAACAAGCCCGACAAGGCTTCTGTATTTTTAGAGGCAATATAGACAACTGTTTTGAACAAATGAAACGTGCTAGTGAAATGTCTTTTGGGCTAGTGAATATTCCAATCTGGTAGTCCGACCAGCCTAGTTGATTCAAATCCTAATTTCTTACACTGAAGATAATAAGCGGAAACAGTATTTACATTTAAAGTTACATTTAATAAATTTCATGAAAACAGAAATAGCGACATTTCATTAATAAATTGGGTTTCATATCGACTCCAGATCTTATTTTGGTGTCCAGACGACCAAAATGAGTTTTATGTGCATAAAATGTGCAACCTCATTTTGGCGAATTCGGAAGTACAATATCAGTTTGCATGAGAAACTCCGCCTTCAGATCATCCGTATATCAATGTTAAATCAACAAACATGACTATAGGTAGCAGTCCTAATTTAACGGTATATTTCCGCATTGTAACGGATGTTTTCATACAAATTTAATCTTTTTTATGGGATGATTATTTTTTCTAAAACCCAGGTCTAGTGCACCGTGAAGCTTAAACGGTTAAAGTGTGTTTGCACAAGATAATCATATATTTTCTGTGTTCCGAATAGCAACCATAACAACACTGTGACGTAGCGCATACACAAGCTAATTATAGTCTTCATTTGCATGTTAAAATTCGTATACGAACTTTAGTGTTACCGTGGGGTTTTCCATTTAAAACCATAATTTATGAACAATATTTGATGAGATTTACAACGATACTGTTTCAAAGGTTAATGAAACTATAGAATGCTTGGTTTTTAGGCCGACGGCAAAAATATGTTTGCATATTTATTTAATGTAGCTTTAAGGCCCCTGTGACCTTGATTTTTTAACTAGTGATCCTAAAATCAATATTGGACATCTACTACTTATGACCAATCAATATGTTGGGCGTCCTTGGCTGAGTGTTTAAGCTCGTTGACTTCAAACCACTTGCCCCTTACCGCTGTGGGTTCAAATTCCCACAGGAACTTTTGGATTCTTTCATGTGAGGAAGCTATGTGAAAGTATGTGAAATATGAAGACTTTGTGATAAATAGCTTTCAAGATAATAAGCAGAAACCATTCTAACATTTAGAGCCTGTGTAACCTTGACCTTTGACCCAGTGACCCCAAAATCAATAGGGGTCATCTACTAGTAATGTCAACCAGTATGTGAAATATGAAGATTTTGTGAGAAATAGTTTCCAACATAATCAGAGGAAACCATTCTGACATTCAAGGCCCGTTAAACCTTGACTTTTGACCGAGTCAACCAAAATCAAAAGGGGTCATCTACAAATCATGACAAATCAGTATGTGAAATGTGAAGATTTTGTGATAAGAAGTTTCCTAGATAATCAGCAAAAAATGTTTTGACATTTATGGCCCCTTAAACCTTGACCTCTGTTCTAGTGGCCCCAAAATCAATAGGGGTCATCTAATAGGTATGACCAATCAGTATGTGAATTTTAAAACTTTCTGATGAATAAATTTGAAGATAATCAGCAGAAAACATTATGACATTTAAGGCACCAGTGACCTTGACATGTAGGGTTGATTTTGGAGTCATCTTAATGAGTTATCACCAATCAATATGTGAAATATGAAGACTTTGTGATAGTTTTCAAGGTAGTAATAAGAGGAAACCATTCTGACATTTAACGCCCCTGTAACCTTGACCTTTGACCTAGTGACCCTAAATAGGAATCATCTATTAGTTATGACTAATCACTATGCAAAATATGAAGACTTTGTGATAAATATTTTTTCAAGATAATAAGGGTAAACCATACTACAATAATGGAGAAAGGTCAAGGTCTTAGGGGCCTTGAATTGTGATCATGATCTTTCTCCAAGTGACCCCAAAATCAATATGGGTCATCTACTAGTTATGACCAATCAGTATGTAAAAATATGAAGATTTTGTGATAAATAGTTTGCAAGATAATCAGCTGAAACTGTTCTGACTTTCTGTGACCTTGACTTTGACCTAGTGACCCAAAAATCAATAGGGGTCATCTACTACCTATTTCTGATCACCGTGTGACATATGAAGACTTTGTAATGGTTTTCAAGATAATCATTGAAAACCATTTTGACATTTAAGGCCCCTGTGACCTTGACCTTTAACATATTGACCCCAAAGTCAACAGGGGTCATCTACTAGAAATGACCATTAACTAAATGGTCATTAAGTGAAATATGAAAACTTTATGAGGAAGAGTTTTCAAGATAATCAGCGGAACCCATTCCATATTTAAGGCCCCTCTCACCTCAAGCTGTGACCTAGTGACCTCAAAATCAAAAGGGGTCATCTACTAGTTTTGACCAATAACTATGTGAGATATGAAGACTTTGTGATGAATAGTTTTCAAGATAATCAGGGGAAACCATTCTGATTTTTAAGGCCCCTGTGACCCCCAAACTTTGACTTAGTGACCCCAAAATCAATAGGGGTCATCTACTAGTTATGACCAATCCCTATGTGAAATATAAAGACTTTGTGATGAATAGTTTTCAAGATAATCAGCGGAAACAATTCTGACATTTAAGGCCCGTTACCTTGACCTTTGACCTAGTGATCCAAAAATCATTAGGGGTCATCTACTAGTTATGACCAATCACTATGCAAAATATAAAGACTTTGCGATGAATAGTTTTCAAGATAATCAGTAGAACCTATTCTGACATTTGACCTTTACCTTTGATCCCAAAATCAATAGGGGTCATCAACTAGTTATGACCAATCACTTTGTGGAATATGAAGACTTTGTGATGAATAGTTTTCAAGATAATCAGCAAAACCATGTGGTCTACCGATGGACAGACCGACCAACTGACCAATCCTCATTAGCAAAACAATATACCCCCTCATCTTCGAAGGGGGGCATAAAAATGTGTTCACATTAAAACTGTTATTATAACAACTTTAAAACAATTTTATTACCCTCCTTTCTCCAGCATAACTTTTCTCTCATAGTCTTTTAGAAACATAGGCTTTTCTTTGGACTTTTTATTCTTCTGCCCTCCCTCATAATCACCGTCATCTGAAACAATTTCAATACTAGAACTCCTTGAGTCGGATGTGTCGCTTTGTGAACAGTATAGCTGTCACTTAGGCATTTTCTTCTTAAATATAAGTTATTTATAAACACCGCTCTATTTTCTTCTTAAATATAGGTTATTTATAAACACCGCTCTATTTTCTTCTTAAATATAGGTTATTTATAAACACCGCTCTTACAATATACATGAACCTTGAATTTTAGTGGCATTTGAATTGATTGTAACAATGTTACATCAGGATATAGTAGAAATGTGTCCATAGGACAAGGGTGCCCCCACACTCCACCTATTTGTCAATCTTATGTCTCTAGGTCAAATTTTTTTTTCGCTACATGTGCTTAAGTTGAAAACTAAAAATCTTTTATTAAGTAAAGGGCAAATACTACAAATACTGAATAAATCTGCAAGAAAACCCCAAGGTGCATAAGTACACATGCTGACCAACATTCTTGTAAACTTTCAGGACTACAGGTCATAAAGTTTTTTAGTTACATGCGACACAAGTTGAAAATTGGAAATTTTTACTAATTCAAGGGCAATAACTCTAAAAATACAAATACTAAATATAGCCACAAAAAAATACCCAGGTTCACAACTACACATGCTGATTAACATTCCTGTAAGGTTTCATGACTCTAGGTCAAATATTTTTTGAGTAACATGCGACACAAGTTGAAAATTGCAAATTTTTACTAAGTCAAGGGCAATAACTCTAAAAATACTAAGAATATCCATACGAGAATACACAGGTGCACAACTACACATGCTGAGCAACATTCTTGTAAGGTTTCATGACTCTAGGTCAAATATTTTTTTAGTAACGTGCGACACAAGTTGAAAATTGAAATTTTTACTAAGTCAAGGGCAATAACTCTAAAAATACTAAATATATCCACATGAAAATACACAGGTGCACTACTTCACATGCTGATCAACATTCCTGTAAGGTTTCATGACTCTAGGTCAATTACTTTGTGCGACACGAAAGGGGAACGGAAGGACGGAAGGATGGTACTTATGTGACTTTTCCTTTGATCTTTTTGGCCATTTATAGTCGCACAAGGCTTGAAAAAAGACACACAAGTAAAAACGGAATGAATAGGATCAAAGAGAATTTACCTTTACTATTGTTCTCCAAGTCACATTTATTTGAACAAACTTGGTAGACACTGACTAGATGATGTTTCATGCCAAATATTTAAGCTCTAGCTCTTTCGGTTTTCTAAAAGAAGGTAATTAAAGTTTTTTCTTTTGGTTGCCATGGCAACCAGAGTTCTGCTTAGAACAATTTTTTTAAGTTGACTATCAAAGGACCATAACTGTGAAGTTTGGATGAATTTGCTTAGCGGTTTATGAGGAGATGTTTTTTAAAGTAAAAGTTTACAGACGGACAGAAGCAAGTTCTTATAAATTGGTACTTAAGTGACTACTATCCCATTTTATTCTCTATTGTTCTAAATAGCCACATAAGCCCAATAAGCCACATAAACCCAAAACGGAATGAATGACATCAAAAGAAATTTACTGTTACCTATTGTTCTCATAGCCTCCTAAGTACCTATTTTTCAGTACGGATGAACTGACGAAGGACAGACGCCAGATGAAAAGCGATCACAAAAGCTCACCATGTCACTTTGTGACAGTTGAGCTAAAAATCATGGAGTAACGGTTTTTGTGCACTGCACTTCTCAATGAGATCTATCATCCTAAGAAGTTTGGAAGACACTCACTAGAAAATGCTTAATATCTAAGCTCTAGCTCTGGGTTTTTTAAAAGAAGATTTTTTTTAAGTTTTAACATTATATACATATAAGGAAAATCAATAACCCCCTTGGGCAGGGCAGAATTGACCCAGGGCTTTTATTTGTACAAACTTGGTAAAAACCCATTACAAGATGTTCCAAGCCTTATATCTAAGCTCTAGCTCTTTGGGTTTATTAAAAGAAGTTTTTTAAATATACATATAAAGACTAGAAATGTGTCATCATGCCACGGATGCCCCCGCATGCAGCCAAAATTTCAAATGTTATAATATTTAGTTCCAAATTTGTTTGCACAAATTATTTTTTTCATTCTAAGTTCAAAGCCCTTAAAACTTTTCAATGTTAACACAAACCATTTTTATACAATGTTCAGGGCTGCCAACAGCAAATTGCAAAATCAGCGGAAAATACGCCGGGGGTTAAGGGGGCTGCGCAAGCCCCCTTTGCAGGTCCAGGGCAGAGCCCTGGTGGGGGACCAGGGGGGCAGCCCCCGGAAGCTCCTGGATTCTGATAATTTGGTATGCCCTAAAATCAATTTCCTGGACTCTAAATTTGACAAATATCCAACATTTTGACGCATTTTGACAACAGACAAGAGCGACAATGTAAACTGTAATTTGATTGGTTATTCTAAAATAGAATACCGGAAAAGACTCGATATGACTGTGGAAGTGGTTTCGTATATTGGAAGTAATAATACAAAGGCGTTGTGTAGGTTCGATCTGTATTGACTCTCGATTCGATGTGTACAAAATCTCAACAGTAATATATAAACAATAACAACATACGTCAGAAGTGACGTTGACGTCAAATAGCGCGGTAAGACGTAACGTAGATAATAGCGTACATATATGTAGTTATCTTGCGGACATACTGGGGGCCGCGAAATGTTTAACACTTATTACACAAAGATTTAAGAATATTTAAGCAGTATGTTCAGAAATAACTTATCAGCAATATCAAAGAGTAATTTAAATAAGTAAGTATCGTCTCTAAGCATTCATTTGGCAAAAATATTATGGTTATTAATCTTTAAAATACAGTTTTTTAAAGAGTCACTTTGTATGAATATAATTTCATAGTTAAAGTTCTGTAACTTCCAAAGGAAAAAGTTTCACTATCGGTCTATTGGTAACACCACTGTCTGTTCTAATTTTCGCCGACCGAACGAGTCCATCTCTCCCGAACACGAGTTGTTCAACGACCGCCAATTTCCATTGTGCACGTGGTACGTCATCGTGAACTTGTACTACGTCACCAACTGATATGGATTGTTTATTTTTTCCGGATGTACGATGTTGTTCACGAAGAGCAGTTAGGTAATCATGTCTCCATCTCTTACGGAAGTCTTCTATGATTTTAATCTGAACTCTGGCACGTTGTGTAATGTTCTGTTGTTTCCCAAGGCTCAAACTTAGGTCCGTTTCATCAACAGTGTCATGATACGGTAATGTAGTAATGCGTCTACCATATAAAAGATGGGCTGGTGTTAATGGTTCTGGTTCTGGGCGATTGCCGGACGAGACATATGTTAACGGACGGTCATTCATAACGGCTTCTATCTCGGTTATGACAGTCTGCAAAGAGTCGTATGTAACGTAGGTACGGCCTAGGGTTTTCTTGAGTGCTGTCTTTGTGAGTCCAATCAACCTTTCCCACCATCCTCCATACCAAGGTGCACGCTTAGGAATGAATTTCCATGTGGTACCATGACTGGTAAGTGTGTGATGTACATGTCGGGACTCGAACAAACGTGTTATATGGTTGGATGCAGCCATAAATGTTGAAGCATTATCAGAGATCATGACATGTGGTAAAGATTTTCGGCTGCTGAATCTTCTAAATGCTTGTAGAAAGGAGTCTTCTGTCAAATCTGGCACGAGTTCTAAGTGCACCGCTCGTGTGGAGGCACACGTAAATAAACAAATATATGCTTTTGTTTCAATTCCGTCTTTAGTTCTGACATAAAGTGCGCCTGTAAAGTCTACACCTGTCACTGTAAATGGCACTGTATCTTCTACTCGATATCTGGGTAATGGAGGAGGATCTGGGGATGAGTATGCTTGGCCAACTACCTTCCGGCAAGTGACACATTTGCGAAGAATTGTCTTTATACATTGACGAATAGCAGGTATCCAAAACTTCTGTCGTATATAAGTAATTGTAGAATTTACTCCAGCATGTAGTATTTTTTGATGGCAATGAAGTACAATCAAACGGGTCAACTTATGTTTTGATGGTAACAGGTAAGGGAATTTCGAACTCTCGACCAGTGGGGCATTGTGAATTCGACCTCCGCAACGGATTCCGCCATCGTTATCTAAAAATAGTCGAAGTTGTTTGACAAGCTGTGAGCGGGATTTACTTGATCTCATGTTGCTGATCTCTGCTGGATAAGTACTGGACTGACAGTCTATTAGCCATAATTTCTCAGCTTGAAGTAATTCATTGGGGGACAGGGGTTCGAGTCTCTTTTTAGAACGTTTGCTGTTTTGTATGAATCTCATCACATATGCAGTAACACGTAATAGTTTCTGGTATGAACCGAATCTGTCAATATCAATAACTCTATGAATGCCTTGCTCGCTAGTTGTGGTAACAGTACTGATAGTGCTAGGGTCTGGACTGGAAGTGTTGGTTTCATGACCGGAAGTGTCATATAAGGAAGCTGTAAGTACTGTTGCATCTTTTGGATTCCATGTAGGCCATTTTGATTGATTGTTGATCCAGGATGGTCCATATTGCCAAAGGCTGTTATTGACAAACTGGGTCGCTGTTATACCACGGGTAAGTAAATCTGCTGGGTTAAAGTTGGTTGGACAGTATTTCCATTTCCGGTCCCCGGTCAGTTTTTGTATTTCTTCGACTCTGTTCCTCACGAAGCGGGGTAAAGTTTTAACTGTTTCTAACCAATGTAAAACAATCTGACTGTCTGACCAAAGATAGAAATTTGTGTGTTTTAATGTCTTCTTTATGTGGCTTAAAAGTCGAGCACCTATTACAGCTGCCATTAATTCTAGTCGGGGTAACGTAAGTTTTTTAAGAGGTGCCACACGATTCTTTGCCATAATTAGTGATGAATTTTGACCATTGGAAAGGTAAGCTGCAGCTCCATATGATGACTGACTAGCATCTACAAACACGTGTAAGGTAGTATGTGAATGGTCGTCTGCTTGTCTAATTTTCTCGTCTGCTCCGGGAAAATAGCAACGTCTGTA